GCCATCGTTCACAGGTGACTGATACTCACATCACATGGCTATCGCTCACAGGTGACTAATACCCACATCACATGGCTATCGTTCATAGGTGACTGATACTCACATCACATGGCTATCGTTCACAGGTGACTGATACTCACATCACATGGCTATCGCTCACAGGTGACTAATACCCACATCACATGGCTATCGCTCACAGGTGACTGATACTCACATCACATGGCTATCGTTCACAGGTGACTGATACTCACATCACATGGCTATCGCTCACAGGTGACTGATACTCACATCACATGGCTATCGTTCACAGGTGACTGATACTCACATCACATGGCTATCGCTCACAGGTGACTAATACTCACATCACATGGCTATCGCTCACAGGTGACTGATACTCACATCACATGGCTATCGTTCACAGGTGACTGATACTCACATCACATGGCTATCGCTCACAGGTGACTGATACTCACATCACATGGCTATCGTTCACAGGTGACCGATACTCACATCACATGGCTATCGCTCACAGGTGACTGATACTCACATCACATGGCTATCGTTCACAGGTGACTGATACTCACATCACATGGCTATCGCTCACAGGTGACTGATACTCACATCACATGGCTATTGTTCACAGGTGACCGATACATCACGTTAACAGGGGGTGGAGTGACTCCACCCTCTGTTAACAATAGGTATTAATTAGGTGTGAACGATAGCCATGTGATTGGATTACTGAGATGCATCAGGACGTTGATATTTATACATGAGGTTGATAAAATTTTAACTATAGGTCATATTATCAGTTTTAAAAATTTATCTGACATATTTTGCATAGAACCAGATCAGTGCTTAAATGTTTTAATTAAGAAAATGCATTTTTCTTTTTCTCACTCACCATTCTGTCTTCTGAAATTGTCTAAATCTGTTGTCCCATTTTTGCAATCAGGCAGAAGGTCTGATGTCTGGGTGTCTAAAAAGGCAGAAACACTTGTTAACAACACATACACACTTATACACAAAAAAAGTCAAGAGTTTTTACATGAACTGTATTGGGTGTTGTTTATAAAGTTACATAGTCAAAAATTACCATCACTATTTTGCTATGTTCAGCCTTTAATAAAAATAAAAATGGGTTTATTTTGCAAAGTCTGATTTTCACCATGTTATTCATACATTTATAACTGTATTAGTTTACAAACTAAATATTCAACATAAATATTAAATATTTAGTTAGCAAGGTAAATATTTAGGTCTAAATGAAGTACTTAGTTTGCTAACTATTTAGCTTGTGAACAAAATATTTTGCTTGGAGCTAAATATTTAGTTTTGAGATAAACAGTTTATTTCCAAGTTAAATATTTAGAGCCAACTAAATAAAATTATTATTTTCTAATACTAATAAAACTAATACTAATAAATGTATGAATAACATGGTTAAAATCTGACTTTTAAAAAATAAACCTCTATTTTTTCTTATGAAAGGAAAATAAAGCAAAACTATTGGTAACTTTTGACTGTGTAACTTTACAAACAGCTCCTCATAGAGCTGAAATCTAAGTAGGTTTATTTTGCAGGAGATTACAAACCGGATGTATGATGAAACCATGATTCACTTCTGGTTTAAAATCTACATTCTTGTACACAGAACTAGCTCATTCCCATGCCAGGTAATAAATCACAAAATATAAACAAATTACAAATAAATTATGTGTTTTTGACATGGAGAATATGAAAACAACTCATTATTGAACTATTCCTTGTGTTTTATTTTGTCATGACAGGTCAGTTTGAGCATCGATTACATAATGAAGGCAGGCAAATAAAAGGAACAGAAATGTTGATGTGTTGTTGTTTTGTAATTTTTATAGTTTGGCTGAATTTAAACAAACTTTCTACAGTATAGTTCTTATAGGTTTTATTGTGGAAGGCTCTTCAGTATATCTGCAGGTGGTAAATGAGGGTGTTTTTATGAAATTTGACAGTTTTGATAAGTAAACCTGATCAAACCAAAGAGATCTATGAACTTTTAAAAAAATATTGCAAAAGGTTGTTTTTCATAGCTGCAACCCTGGAGACATCCTGACACACTTCCTGGTTTGACAACAGTAAAAACACAGCTACTCACACAGAACAAGACGCAGAGAAATGTTGATAAGAGCTTGTAGGACACACAGCAGTCCAAAACTAACAGCAACCACTCGGATCAGTTTTTCACCTGCAGGAAGAAAACACAACCAGAAAGAAATGAACTGTTCTCCTGTTTCAGACACAATTTTATTTATTTCAATTCACAAAATTAAGTTATTTTCCTGCTGATTGGATAGAAGGAATTATATGTTCTATTACTTATAAGATGGATAACAAAGCTGTTTGTTAACATTTGAACAATGTTGTACCGAACACAGCTTCACTTCACAGAAATCCAAATTTAATCAACTGTTTGAGGCATTTCTTACTAAATATATCAAAATTCAACAATTTAAGCACCCACAGCTTTTCCATTATTGATTCAGGATGTATTACTCTTAGATAAAAGATTCAGGAATTGTTTTATCAGAACATATCTCACAGAGAATCTCTATAGGGGGAAAATCAATCCTCTCTCAGCGATCTCTTGGAAAGCTCACTATGTACTGTTATTTTATATTACTTAAAATTGTACTAATATAACATACTGTACCTACATGTTTAAACTTTTAAGAAATGTTTTATCATTGTATAAAAAGCCCTTTATTGCCAAGACAGTTTTGTTAAATAAAGTTTTAAAAAAGTTAAACTATTTACACAGACATTGTTCAGTTAAACAAACTAGCACTGAATAAATATGACATCAAAAGGAAAACAGACAGAGTTGGAAGATATTTATCATGTTACCTTATGGATATTGTAGCCACATATTTTAAATGAACATCAAAATAAATGTTGGTAATCAATCTTACAGTTGAAGAGAGAGATTCTGTTTTACCTGGATACACCTTGGTTTGTTTATCAGAATGGTTTCCGGTTGGTGCAGCAGGTTGATTCACATAATCCATGGTAATCTGAGTTTGCTGTCTGTGAACAACTCTTGCCATCTTTCCTAATGAAGACAAACTGAAAAAGACAGGATGTTTATGTTGGGCATGATACTGATACATAACCCACATCCCCTTTTTGCATTTCTCTTTTTTAACAAACCATAACGATTGCAAATTGTTTGTGCATGCCTGCACTGCCCAAGTTTAGCAACTGGTGATGGCAACAGCAGTTTGAACTGTGTCATAATCAGTGAAGTAAAATGATTTGTCTTTTTATTTACATGTGATGTTTTTACAGTTTTATTTTCTGCATGCACAATTGAGCTGTAAGATTGAGATCAATAAAMTGGAAGTCTGAATAAAATAGTGGAAAACCAGTTGATTCTCTCCCAGAAGGCTTTATTCTCATCTGACTCCATTAACAGCTCACAGCAGCCAGCCACAGGCCAGAACAAAAACAATAACAATCCTGTTCAAGAGCCCAGGCATACTGTACAAAAMTCAGATTTCTAAATTCAGGATATGAGCTGTAAACCGAGCTTGAACTAGCCTCTAACTTGTAAACAGCRGTAGTCAGTTGCTCTAACACCAAGCCGCGCTTTCAAAAGTTAAAACTTCTTGTGTCACTGTATCTGTCTGTAAGTTATCTGAAATTATCAAAATGAACAAAACTGAAATGAACAGCTGATCATTCACTTAAAATGATCGCTGTAAAAAAAGATGAGGGATGGGGGGACGGGCTCCAGTGCGGACCCGTGTGTGTTGGGGGGAGACAGGGCTGGGTAGGTGCCTTGGTGGAGGTGGAGGTGAAGGGGAGTGGCCTGTATAGGCACAAAGCAGCTGGGAGGACTTGTTATATTATTTTAAAGACTAATTTAATGGTGAAGCTGAGGTTAAGTATTTTTTTAATTATTCTTTTTCATGGATAAGCTGATGAATAAATTAAAAATATATATTTACTCTGTAATATTTGAATGCAAAGAAAAAAAGAATAAATTTAATAATTGTATGAAGAACTGATTTCTGATCAGACACTACAAAAATTAACCATCTAAAAATAAGTTAAAAATACTAGATTAGACTCTTAAAATGAATAATAAAAATCTGCAGTTTGACAGTTGCACTTGTAGAAATAGGC